TAAGGAGTTTCCATGAAAATCTCCATAAATTACTTTTCTCAGGTGAACCTTATCTCACACTAATGAAAATTGGTGTGTGTTACTCTTGCAACCAATGAAAAGCCTCTTCTACCCAGTCACGGGTGAATCACGTTACAGTATCCCCTACTCTACAAGTACCGGTATATATATAATGTAAACCAACAGACAGGATTGGCATGAGGTGCATACTGAATCTACAAAACTGCAGAACATGGAACGTCAGCCTTGTGGAAGAGGGGTGAGGATCGGTGGAGGACAAGGACAAAACCGGGTAAGAAGAGGCCAACCACATAGACACGTCCCTGACGAAATCAGGGCAACACTTGTGGATCATGTGATAAACCATGGCCTCACAATGTCCAAGGCTGGTCGAAGGGTGCAGCCAAATGTTGGGAGAACTACTGTAAGTTCCATTATTCAGACATTTCATCGGGAAAACAGGCGAGCATACTGTAATGTAGTTATTCAGCACAAACTAATTTGCTCTGCACTTTCATAGTCATACAGGAGACTTGCATTAGGACATGACCTTATAGATCTTTACATATAGACGTACTGTAACTGAAGCGCAGACTTGGCCCAGGTGTGGCATAGTGTGCTGTGGTACAATACAGTAATGCTGTAAAGAAAGGAGTTTTGAATGATAGTCCTGTAACAATTACTGTAAGCATGTTTGCGCTTAAAGGACTGCCAGACAACCTAGAAGAGGTGGAAGAGGTCCACTTTTGACTCCGCAGCAAGAGGAAAGAATTTGTGCAATGGTGGCTGCAAACAACGCTTTGAGACTGAGAGAAATACAAAGAACTGTCGTAGAAGATGACACCATCTTCGGAAATATTCAGTCAATATCAATTTCCACCATAGACAGAGTCCTCAGACGGAATGAAATGTCCATGAAGCAATTGTACAAAGTACCATTTGAACGGAACAGTGATCGAGTGAAGGAGCGCCGTCACCAGTATGTACAGGTAAAACATGTTTGCATATGTACCTCTGTTTACTGTAAAAGTTTAGGCCATGTACTGCACTTACATTTATGCATGTTACTGTAATCCTATTCACAGTTCAAACTGTACAATCTGTTGCGCCAAATGGACCATTACAGACTTTTTTAGTCTCATCCTTTGTATAGCGTATCCTGGAATTGGAGGCCAGGGAACCCCTGCACACATTTGTATAACTTGACGAAGCGGGATTCAATCTCGCAAAAGGCAGACGGCGTGGACGAAATCACATTGGCGAAAGAGCCACCATTGATGTCCCAGGCCAACGAGGAGGAAATATTACGATGTGTGCAGCAATCTCAGAAAATGGCGTTCTCGCCCATATTCCTCGTATTGGTGCATACAATACACAACACCTGTTGGCTTTTCTGGACGCTCTTTATAGGGACCTAATCCCACAAAATGAAAGGGATGATCCTGGTGACAATCGGACAATGTATGTAGTGGTTTGGGATAATGTTAGCTTCCATCACTCTGCTGTAGTCAGGCAGTGGTTTGCAGCACACGACAGGATGCTTATGGAGTTTCTTCCTCCTTACACTCCATTCCTAAATCCAATTGAGGAGTTTTTCTCTTCCTGGAGGTGGAAGGTATATGACAGGCATCCACATACCCAAATGACCCTGCTAGCAGCTATGGATGCAGCTTGTGATGACATCACAGCAGAGTCCTGCAGAGGGTGGATTCGACACTCCAGAAGATACTTTCCCCGATGCATCGATAGAGCTGACATTCGCTGTGATGTTGATGCAAATATGTGGGCAGACAGACGGGAGCGTCTAGATATCAATGATTGATATGCAGCAGTGTCTGTTTTTCAGTTTGTTTGTTTTTGTTTCATAACTACTGCAGTAAGGTTTACTGTCTAAGTGAGTTTATGTTTGCTGTAAAAGGAACCCAGTTGCACAATGCTGTGAACAGTTCATTTGAAAGAGTGTCTTGATTTTCCTTTACAATTTATGGTTTTCAACATGCCATGCATGCTGTCCAGACTTGACATGTCATTGGGAAGCACCTACAAAGAAATCCGTCACAATGAGAACATGTTCAAACCATTTGATTTTGTGACCAAAGGTGCTGGTGTAATGACTTGTAATTGTGACAGCCCTGACACTTTGATATAAGTACTTGCTTTTGATGAATATATTATCTGTTTTGATTAAGGGACTTGCTTTTGAACAACTGACTTTTCTTTTTGATGAAGTGACTCACTTTTGCAAGTTATCCACCATGTTTTGCAGTTTGCACTAATTGTTTTGAGAAGAGCCTTAGTAGTGGTGCAGAGATCAATTCTGTTGTGAGAAATGCACCAAAGCAACTGAGAAAAACTGTAAATGTCTAAATGACCTCCTCAACATGTCTCGAAGTTCTCCAGAGGCTGGTAATGAACTAATCATTTGATTCAGGTGTGTTGACCCAGGGTGAGATCTAAAACCTGCAGGACACCGGCCCTTGAGGCCTGGACTTCCCCCACCCCTGTTGTAACCCATCAAATCATTGTATATTCAAGATAAGATTTATACCTACAGTGATGCGAAAAAGAAAGTTTAAACACAGGATTTTGTTCAGTCCTGGAAAACTTAGTAAACTCTTCCTGCTTCCGTAGAAATTAAGAGGGTAAGTAGCAGCCATGTGCTACTAATCAAATAGCCTCTATTATGCGTCCCCATAAGACTTTTTCTCTAATATCAATGTTCAGTTCTTCCTGGAGGACCTCAGGGTCCTCCACATCAGCAAGTGTGACCCCCGGTAAAAGCAGAAGCTTTGCTAAGTTGGATCATTTATTTGTGTTAACACAATGCTCTTCCCGTGAGTCGGTGTCCCAGCAGATTCATCCCAAGATCAGACCGTCTCAGACTTTAAAGGTCTCAGTTTTGTTAGATTTTAAAGTCATGATCGCATAATTAGAAGAACACTGAACAAATATGGCTCGTGTTGAAGGGTTGCCAGTAAAAAACCTCATCTTGGTCATTGCATATTTCTCCTTAGTCCTCAACAAAAATGTGACAGACTGATAAAGTCATACAGAAAACAATTACTTTAACTCAATGCTGATATAAGTGGATCTACAAACTATCATGTGACACATTTAGTTTTTCACACAACTGCATGCAGTCTTTTGAACTTCACAAACAGAGAGACTTCAGAGGTAAAGCTTGTTGATTTATCAGTTGCTGTAACTCTTACCTTTGGTCATCAGCTCTTGGTAATGATCTCAAGGATGAGGTGAAGTAGCTGAAAGGAGTTTCCTTCTCAGGATGATTGGACTGAGCCTTAGAGATTAACAGTGAGGGGGATCTTGGACATCCAGAGCAAGTTCAGACTAGACTTTGAGTTTAAGATGTTTGGGGCTTCTGATCCGAATGCCTCCTCCCCTGTGAGGCTTTCCAGGCACCCCAACTAGGAGGGCATCCTGAGGCAGACTTGCAGGAATGGTTGTATCTCATTTTGCCTGGGAATGCCCTGAGGTCCTCCAGGAAGAACTGAACATTGATATTAGAGAAAAATTCTTATGGGGAAGCAAATGGATGGATCAATATCTGTGATGCAAAGATGATTAACAGGTAGTAGGAGAAATACTTTGAAGGGGACCAACTCTTCCAATTCTCAGCTCCACATTTAATCTAAAAAGCAAAATACAGAAAAACACATGGTTTGCTTTGTCATCAGGACAGCTCACTGGCTCTTTAAATGTTTTAGTGCACAGCTCCAGTGTCCGGCTGTGTGGGTGTTTAGGACTTAAAGTCGTATTGAGTATTGTCAGATGCTCTACTTATATGGATCCTCATGTAGTCGTAATGTTTGAATGGGCTGCAGATGGTCATTGTAGGAAAAAAAAGATATTTTGAGAATTAATATGGAAACAAAATTTTAAATATGTGAAAAAAATCTTACCTGGGTTAAAACTGTAATTTCACCAAAGCATTAGTCAGGGTAAAATATCAGATCTATGTAAAGTCAATGTCATCATGTCACTGTGCATGAAAAGTCACAACAGTGTGTTGTGTAATGGAACATTATTGGAATATTGTCCGTTTCAATATTGCCTAAAAATAATGCTGTGTAAGGTTTCACAATGTAAAGTTTTAACTTTTGTAAGTAAATTACTTTTGAATAAATCAATAGAGATTATATTGCATCAGTTGCCAGTTAAATACAATTATGTTAATTTATAATATTTAGATTGAAGTTCTCAGAATCAGGTGGTGTGAAAGTATCTCAAGAGGTAAAGTTACAGAAAATAGTCATTATAAAAACAAACAAAGACTCCATTCATGACACATCCCTAAAATCTGCCCCATTACAACCCCAACGAACATGTAACACCTCTCTGTTTTTTTAAAATAAAATTGTCACAAGTAATTTAAATTGACACCATAAAGATTAAGGTCATAGCTACGTTTATGTTTTTAAAGTGAAAATAAAGTTAGTAATTTAACAAAGAAATAAGTTTGCATGCTGAGCACGTGCTAGAATTTGGAGTATAGAATAGTCTCTATTACACAAACGCTATAATTTTTTAAGTGTCGTTCTAATAACAAATATACATTTTTTCCTTATAAATAGTTTTTTTAAATTGCAACTTTATTGCACTGTATGTTCGATGAGGGTTTTTCTTTGATAATGATATGAAAGATTTTGTAATGTAATCTGAACACTTTACATCAGAAGTTGTAATTTTCCTCCCCCCCCCCTCTCTGTCCATTTTTCTCTCTCTCTCTCCTTCCAACATGAAACTCCCATCAGTCTGTTTAATGTAGAGCTGTGTGTGTGTGTGTGTGTGTGTGTGTGTGTGTGTGTGTGTGTGTGTGTGTGTGTGATGAGAAAAGGGAGGGACACGAGGAAGAGAGCAAGAAATGACAACGAACAGAGAGAGAGAGAGAGGAGAGTGAGAAAACAAAAAGGAGACAGGGGGAGGGTCGAGCAGGAAACAGGAGGTGGAGCCACAGAGAGAGAGAGAGAGTGAAAGAGAGAGGGAGAGAGAGAGAGAGAGAGAGAAAGAGAGAGAGAGAGAGAGAAAGAGAGAGTGAGACAGAGAGGGATGACAGGAGATGTGGTTGTTGCCGCGGCAGCAGAGCAGGACAGATCTGAGACAGTAAAACAACACTCCTCCTCTTCTTCCTCCTACTTCTTCTTCTTTTTTATTCTTCTTCTTCTGTCCTCCTGCATCCGTCCACAGTGGTTTCACCTGGAAAACCTGCCTCCTCTTCCTCCTCGCCTTACTCTTCACCTTCATCATCAGCAGCCGCACCAGCACCAGCAGCTGTGGTAAGTAGGATGGAAACTGCTCCAGATACACCGCTACCACTGCTGAGAATAGAATAAGAAGGGAGTGGAAAAGTCGAGTGGAGGAAGAGGAGCGGGACGGGATGGCGTGGTGGAGAGGGGTGGGGGTGGAGAGGGGTGGGGGGTGGGAGGGGGTGAGTAAGAGTTTGGAGCGAGGAGGTGAAGAGAATAAAATCAGAGTAGAAAACTTGGAATAAAGAGGAGCAAAGAAGAAAAAAGTGGCGTTTGTGACTAAAAACTGTAGATGGAAAAGAGCAGAACAGGACGAGGGAGGAAGAATAGAACTGAATAAAACAGAATAGAAAAGAATAGAAAAGAAAGGTTTGAGGTGTTTGGGATAAACAGGAGACAGCAAGTTCACCAATTTATGACAAATAATTAAGACAAAGCCTCAAGATTAAGATTTAGATAGAAGATAGAAGCAGATAAATGTGGATAATTTTCCTGTGTGTGTGTGTGTGTGTGTGTGTGTGTGTGTGTGTGTGTGTGTGTGTGTGTGTGTGTGTGTGTGTGTGCGCCTGCGTGTTGAGGTTGACGTAATCCAGCTGTATGAATTAGTGATGAAGTTCTGTGTGTTTGCTATTAACAGTGGTTAGCAGTCTCGCATACACACACAGACACACACCTGCCGCTTGAACACTTGTCATATGCATGCGTGCACACACATACATGTGCACACACTGTGCTCATTAATATTCACACACCTCCTGCTTCTGCAGTCCTGAAACTCTTTAAACCTCCAACAGGGGCTCCTAACTCACTTATTGTCTTTTTTTACCTTTTAAAGTTTCATTGAGAGTCGATAGGAAAGATTCAAATCGTGCAAGTCAAGAATTTTTGATGCCATTGCACGCTCGAACGTCTTTTGTAGTCTTGATACTTTGTGGCCTCACGTCTGGCTTCAATCCATTACGAGAGGTGTACATCTTTAAAAACACCTCACTCATGTAAAAGTTGATGTTTTTATTCTGAAACAGCCGCTCAAGTAAACAGTGCATTCTTGGGGACTAATTTCATCGGCAGATTAATGACTATTTTGTACTCCGCAGAGCATTTGTGGCATTTTCTGTTTCGTCCAATAAGGGAAAGTGAAAAATATCCTTTTCCCCTGTAAGGCTCTGTGGTTTCCTGAATGTGGACACTGTCGTTTCTAGCACAACGTTCTTTAAGAAAATAAACATTTTAGGCTAAATAAATGTTTTTTTGTTCTTATCAAAGATGAAGATTGTTGTGAAGTCACTGTGTTATCTGACTGTTTCATGGTAGCTGGTCCTGATTTGTGTCAGTGACGCAGTCGGTCTGTTTCTCAGCTGACTGCTGAGAAGCAGACGGTAAATAATCGAATGTGAAACGTCTTCAAATTCAATCTATGCCAGTTCATAGCTAATGTGATGCTGCACAGGCCTTTAACTGGTTTTAAGGTTGCTTTTTAATGCGCAGGCACACTTTGGTAGCTAAACAAATTTCACTCTAGGTTTTACAGTGAAAGAGGAACACAGGCTGTGATGTGCTTTTACTTTAACAGTTTTTTGGTGAAACTCTGCAGGATATCCTGATATGACACATATGCAATACTTAATTAACGCGAGTTTGGTCAACTCCTCCTTGGCAGCACATTTAATCCACTGGATAAGAGCCTTTGCTGTACTGGGCGATGTTGCTCTGGTGTGTTTGTGTTGCTCTGCCATCGTGAGTGGAAGTGAGCGGACTGTGTTAGAACGCACGCAGGAACGGCTGAAGACTTCCGAGCCGATGATCAGAGCTGTGAAAATGAGAAAAATGGCATATGTCTTCATTTCAGGAATACTGGCAATGCATTAGCAAGCTTGATGCAATTACAGAGCATTACATTAGCATGATGGACTACAGCACAGAATTAATGCAGTTCTATAAAGCAAGGATTTGTGTATTTTCTAGCATGCAGGAAGCTGGTTCTTATACAGCGCGTTTCTACTTTACCTGAGCACTCACCTCATTCAGCCGTTCATACAAAAACCTTTTCTATAGTTTTTCTACATAAGTGCTTTCTATTGAACATTCACACTGCAGCAGGTGCATCGGAGATGGGGTTAGTGTCTTGCCAGATGATGTTTGGTATGCAGACTGGGGCAGCCAGGAATTGAACCACAAACCTTCCAATTAGTAGATGAAAAGTTCAGGACTGTGGAGCTTTGCCTCCATAGTCGTGAATATCAGAGTGGCGGGTCACACCGCATCTTTTTCAGATGGTGGAGGGCATCTTTTGACATTTATATTGCGTAAATAAAATTTGACAGCTTGGCATTAACCTCCTATCATCCCTAAGGTCAATATTTAGAGGCAGGGAGTAATGTTAGGTCTAGTTTGAAGAAGGAATCATACTTTCCACGTCTGCAAGGCAGTAAGGGTCCACTCGGATCAGGCAGCAGACTTCAAGCAGATGTCAAACAATGTAACAGGAATGACTCGGCCGTGGGGTCTCCAGCTGTCCAGCATCCACAATAGAGTATAATCTAGCCTTTAGCTACATGCTAGAAAAGTTTCATATCAGAACCCAGAATAGTTTTCAAATCCAGTCTCTAACATGCAACATGTTTCTGTTAGAAGAGTTTCCTTTCCAGATGTTTTATGTGCAACTCGCTGATGAAAAGTCAGTGTTCAGTGCTATTTGCACACGGAGTAAACATGCTGTTAAAGATCTGAACTGTCAGAGAAACGTGTTCATACCATATGGTTTGGATTGTTCAGTGAGTCAAGTACGCACTAAAAACCCAACAGTGGCTGCTTTAGTAACAAAAAGCTCGCGGGTACATTGATGTGTGAAAGCAGTGCCACGCTGCCTGCAGCCAGAGCGCAAACCAAGAAGCAAATCTGTCAATTTTAAGGACAAACACATATCTGGCTCTTCACCTCAGTGAGTGGATGTAACTGTGTGTCAGCTAAAAGTTTAGAGCAGCCACTAGATATAAATGAACGGCACAGAAAATAACATAAAATAGCACATGCGTACGATTTAAATGGTCTGAGCCGGCTATAGATCAGTCCTTGTGCAAAAAATGGACACAGCTCTCAGCAGTGAGCGTGGAGCTGCATGTTATCTGAAAGCGCAGCTGCGCTCTGCATGTTCCGATAACATGCATCCTGGTGCACTTATGCAAAATTTACGCTGCCTTTTCCCACCACTTTTCTCCTGTCCTCCCCGTGTTTCTTTTGTTAATTTAAACGATCTTCTCCTGCACAGAGTAGGACAACAATCTGGGGCATAAAATAACCTCACAGTAAGTGCTAATCAGCATGAAAGTGCTAAGACCAGTGAGTCAACAGCTGCCAGCCTTGTTACATGTCTTTGAATGTATGGGCGTCATTTTGGTTTTCCACATAGATGCAAAAGTTTGCTGCAGTCATTTGGAAAAATAGGAAGAAAATATATTTTTATATGTTTTCCACAATGTTTCAAGTGTCATCTTTTTGTACCTACTGATTATCTTTATTAGCCAACAACATTATTACACACAACAGTGAATGGAAACATTGATAAAATAATTTACATTTTAAATTGTTCATGAGATGATGTAAAAATGTCTTCATAGAATGGGTTAACCTGTAGGAGCTTTAATACCGGATGATCCCTGATGTTGTTCACTTTAAAAATAAAAAAGGAAAAGCCAGCAAAGGTCGAAAATAAAATATAAAATGTCTAATACATTTTAACTCCAGGTCTATAATAAAAGAATCAAAGCTTCAGTAGCTCTGTGTGCAACTGAACGAGTAGTGTTCATCAAACTTTGCAACAACCTTGTCAAACGTCGGTGAATAAAAATGTGTTGAACTTTTCTAAGACTGGAGGTCCAGCAAAGGCTAGAAGTGCAATCTTCCATGTGTCCGGTTTATCGTCCAGCTCCAGGCTCTCAGGCACAACATGAAAGGCAAAACCTCTGCCAGCTTTATATTTTACTTCTACTTTTTTATACTTCTACTTCCCGTACCATGTAATACTTCTAATACACGTAGAAACTTGAGTCGAAGACCTTCGAATGTGGCAAACTATTCCGTGTACAGAGCCATAATTACAAGCTGCTAATCATCAGGTACAGCAACAGGTATTAACAGGACATTGGCACCTTCTACTGGTCAGGAGGTATCATCAGCTCTTATTAAACTACTGTCGCTGCATTCGTGAGCAGCTCCGTGCTAATTTAAGTTACTGTTCTGGTGGGAAACGCCAGCATCTGTACAGATGGTGAGACTCAAGCAGACAAAACAAAACAAAGAGGAAATAAATCATAAATCATGATCAGAGTCACAGCAATCCAGTGATAGTAGTCGGTACATCAATACGTACATTGAAACAAGCGTTTTAATAAAGACTTGTGCTCCTCTCCATTTGAACCTACCGATATCTGACATCACGGTGGTGCATTTATAAGCTAGCGTGGAGGAGCTCGCCTGATCCTTTCATTTCTTCCTGTCATTATACAGGTTCTCAAACAGGCTACATGTTGGGGTTGATGTGAATTTCACACTGAGGTACCTTTAGATCCTCTTTAAAAAATAAGGAAGATGATGGGATTTTAATGACAGGAGGAGCAGCCTGTTCAGGCCTTTTCAGCTGGATTTGTTGGCAGTTTATACTAATATAAAAAGTTCATGTGTTCTCATCAGAAAAATGGTGAGATTATGATGATGATCATGTTTAAAAAGAGTCAGCTGTGAATGTGAAGCTTCTGAAGTATTAGACCCTGACATGTGCTCATGATCTTTGGGTGGTTGCATGTTGGTGCGTAAAGGAGTGGAGCATGGAGCCACATGATCAGGATGCATCCTGACCTCCTTACTTTCCAGGTTTTCTGGGCAATTACAGTTTTAGAAGGAGACCCAGGGGCAGACCTAGAACCCGCTGTTAGATTATATGTCTCATCTGGTCTGGGAAATCCTCAGGATCCTCCAGGTGGAGCTGAAAATGCTGCTGCCACCTGACTGTGATTCAGCAGCACTTAATGGTT